CTTCAGCGAGGCCTCTCAGGCTTTCGGACTCACCATCAGTCTGAAGAAAACACAAGTCATGGGACAAGGAGTGGACTCCCCACCTGACATCGGCATCTCTGATTCCAAACTGGAAGTTGTTCACGACTTCGTGTACCTGGGCTCCACAATCTCTGACTCCCTCTCTCTTGATACGGAGCTAAACAAACGCATCGGTAAGGCATCTACTACCATGTCCAGACTGACAAAGAGAGTGTGGGCCAACAATAGGCTAACTGAGTATACTAAGATTCAGGTTTACAGATCCTGTGTCCTGAGCACTCTCCTTTATGGCAGTGAGTCTTGGACACTCCGCGCCCGTCAGGAAAGACGGCTGAATGCCTACCACATGCGCTGCCTTCGACACATCTTGGACATCACCTGGCAGGACAAGGTGACAAACAACAACGTCTTGGGGAGAGCAAGAATCACCAGCATGTACACAATGCTGAAACAGAGACGAATGCGCTGGCTCGGGCACGTTGTGCGAATGGGCAACGGCAGGATCCCCAAGGATCTCCTGTATGGAGAGCTGAGGCAGGGAAAGCGTCCAGTAGGCAAGCCCCAGCTACGGTACAAAGACGTATGCAAAAGGGACCTGAAAGCCATGGACGTCGATCTTGCTATATGGGAGACACTGGCTACAGACCGTTCAGCCTGGAGGCAGTCTGTTCAACGAGGTCTCTCCAAGTTCGAGGAGTCACTTGCCAAGGAATCGGAGGCAAAGAGACAGAGAAGGAAAGCCGGTAACCAGGAAGACAGACCAGAATCGGACTTCGTTTGTGCTCGGTGTGGGATGGACTGCCACTCTCGGATTGGCCTCATCAGTCACACCAGACGCTGCACCAGGATTGACAACTAGGGCGCAACTCCATAGTCTCCCGAGACTGAAGGATGCCTACTACTACCAGTTTTAGCCCTCTGTAACACAATGTAACGTAAGGTAACTCAGAAATCATCAACTTTCTACAGACCAAATAACATTATGAAAGTATGACTTAGCCCATCTCCATTACATCTCCTACCATATAAATATTACTGTCTACCAGTTTTAGCCCTCTGTAACACAATGTAACGTAAGGTAACTCAGAAATCATCAACTTTCTACAGACCAAATAACATTATGAAAGTATGACTTAGTCCATCTCCATCACATCTCCTACCATATAAATATTACGGTCTGCAAGTTTTAACCTCTGTAACACATTGTAACGTAACGCAAATCAAATTTCTACAGACCAAAATAACATTTTTAAATGAAAGTGAGACTTAGTCCATCTCCATTACATCTCCTACCATATAAATATTACTGTGTGACAGTTTTAGCCCTCTGTAACATATTGTAACGTAACGCATATCAAATTTCTGCAGTCTAAAATGTCATTTTGAAACGAAAAGTGAGGCTTAGTCCATCTCCATTACATCTCTTACCATATAAATATTGGTGTCCACTCCAAACCAGTCAGGACCTAGGGTCCCGACTCAGACCGAAGGTCCGGTTTGGAGTGGAGACGGGTTCAAGTAAAAAATGGGCACACTGGAAATGATTTCAAAGCAAAAGATTTGCTTCATGGAAATGAAGCAAATAGATTTGCTAGCCTTTCTGCTTCTTGCTCTGGATGAACATGGTGCGGCGGAGCAGGAGGCGATTTTCCTTTGGCCTTGTTGATCTGCCTCCAGATGTCGCCCAACGACGTATGCTGATTTAGCTTGGCACACCACTCGAGCCATTTTTCTTCTCTGATTTTTGCTGTTTCTTCGTGCACATGATCTCGGACAGCTCTAAGAAGTCCTAGATTAGCTTTGGTTCTATCTCTTCTGAAATTCTTTCGTGCACGATTTAGTCTGTTATGTAGCTCTTTGATCCTATCACAGTAATACCAATGGTCCTTGTGTTGTTGGGTAATTGTTTTCCTCTTGGGGATGGCATGATTTGCTGCTCTATGTATTGCATTTACTAAATCTTTTTCCATTTCTTCGGTGTTGTCAGGAGGAGTGTAGTTTTGGTGCCAAGTTTCGAGAGCTTCCTGAAACTTCGTCCAATCTGCCTTGATAAAGTCCCATCCGGGCTTGGGAGCTGGAGGTCTGGGAGGTAGTGCTATATTAATAACTGTTTTTGTAGCAAAGTGGTCACTAGTCAGAACATGATCCACTGACCAATGACACAACTCATAAATGCTGGTGGAAACAAACGGAATCTGGGAATAAACTATCATGTTATGTCCAGACCAAGTGAGATGACCCGGAGAGTGGAGTTGAAGATCCTATTGGACGACATATTCGACCTAGAGACGTAAAAGAAGGTTACCACTAAAGACACCTTGCAAGCAGAACTTATTGCAAAAGAAGGAAAGATTTGAGGTAACTACAGAAGCACCATACTGTCCCCCGAGCTCAAAGCGGCAGCTAAGAGCCTTCGTGAGAACAAGGAGATAGTCGTCAGGAGAGGTGACAGGTCGCCAATATACGTCATTCTTAAAAAGACTAATATCTGGCAAAAATGAACCTCATACTCTCCGACCAAACTAAATTCCAAAGGGTAACGAAGGACACTACAGACGAAATGAAAACGAAGGTAAACAGATTTATTGAAACTGTGAACGCCAAGAAATCCGGGGTCAGATTCACGAAGCAGTTATGCAAGTACTTACGAACATGTACATCTTTTCTCGATCTTTGGTGGCTTTGTTTACATTTATTAAACAGTTTACAAGCATGAAAACTTCCCAATCATCTGTAGTTATTCTTATAAACGGCCTCCTGGTGCTTCGGAGCTCATTAACTGTTTAATAATTGTAAACAAAGCCGCCAAAAATTGAGAAAAGATGTTCACGTTCGTAAGTACTTGCGTAACTTCTTCGTGAATCTGGCCCCCAGACTCCACCTGCCAAAGGTTATCGGGGAATACAAACCTGGTTATGCACACGGGAATGTCAAGTCCCACAAGCCTGGAAACCCACTTCGGCCAATCATCAGCCAGATACCCACACCCACTTACAGACTGGCTAAGCGACTCAACTGCTTGCTGACTCCTTATGTGCCTTGTGCTTTTAGCCTGAAGTCTCCAAAGGAATTCGTTGACTTACTGCAGGGAACACGGGCCACAGGAATAAGAGCCTCTCTGGATGTGGAGTCACTGTTCACTAACGTGTTCTTGATATTACCATTGATTCCTAGTAACAGATTTGTATTATTCATCACCGAAAGTCAATTAATGTTCCAATTGTTTTTAATGAAAATATTATTCTGGAATACTCTAGATCCTTAAAAATTCATGCACATTGTCCCGTATGTAGACACATGTTGGTCAAATGGCATACGTGATCATGGTAGCATTGTCATGTAGGATCTAGTTGATATAGAATATGTATAATGAATCTGATGTGATTCTGATATAATATAGAAATAATACATTTCTTAGATAATAATATTGATATAGTGGGTAAAATTTCCCACAACATCTATGTCTCTCTTACTTTGACAAGGTAAGAGAGCTTATATAGAGACTACTGTTATTAAGCACTTAATCATCGGAGGTGAATAAAATACTTTTACAAGTTCAGGTTATAGTTACATCACATATATTATTTAACAAATGCATTACGTAGTGAATCTTGAGTACAAGTCCAATATATCATCAAGTGATCCAGTATTCATGTGGTATTTACAGAGTTCAGCATACCTCAGCCCAGGAGGGTGAATGTCAGTCAATATGGGACATTCTACAATATAATATTCTAGGGAGTGCATGTTTTCTCTTTCACAAAGTTGACACATGGTGTATTCGCCATTTGGGTTTTGAGAGAGCTGCAAGATATGTCTATGTTCCAGGCGTATTCTGGCCAATATAACATCACATTGCCGAGTTCTTTCTCTATTAGTTCAATATATAAATATCTCCTCACGATATTTATCATAATGTTTAATGCTACAGCTTTCAGGTTTTTGAAAATTTGTTAGGTCAGTAAGATTTAGATTGACCTAAGATTTAGGTCAGTAAGGAGATTTAGGTCAATAAGGGACGCAACTGAGGGTGAGCAAGGCTAGAACAAGTTGCAGACGTTGGGAGGCAGCGGGTCAGTTCTGGGGATTGCATGTGTGTTTCAGAACAAGTTGCAAAATTCATAGTAACACTACCAGAGTTGTGTTAAGGCTGGAAGTCTGAGAAATTAGGGGTATCCTAGCCTCCTATTTACAATTAGCGGTTGCTTGAAGTGCAACCAGGTGAGTTCAGTGAAGCGTACAGTGTGCACAGTGTGTGTGGAGCTCCATTACCCCGAAGTTCATAGTTGTTGGCCACCTGCTGTAGGAAAGGTGTCATATGTGGTCACGAAGATGACTGTTCCTCATGGACGCTATCGGAGTCTCTGTTGCCTGTGTGTTGCAATCCGGAAAAACGTGCACCACATGCCAGAATTAGTTATGGTGGATGAGGAGAGAATCCCTCTCAAAATATACAGGAGACGTGATTGGAAGGATCATGTTGTGAGTTCCAGAAAGGATTTGTTTTTTATGTCAGGTTACAGGCAAGGTTTGACCCAATTGTTTCAGGGTTGCGGTAAATTCTAACTTCATGATGTGATTCTATTGTGACCAGTGTTATAACGTCATTATGGGTTGTAGCGAGATATGATACATGCAGATTCGTAGCAAGAGCTAATCCCATGTTGTGATCCCATTTTATGAAACTTTCACACTAGGTTTAACCCCATAGTGTGATCCCACTGCGTCACGATAACGACAAGGTTTTACCTTAGTGGTGTTATTTCATTAAGTCAGGGTCGTGACAAGATCTGACTTCAGAGTGAGATCCCTTTATGTCAGGAAGACTGCAAGGCCCGACTCTGTGGTGTGTGATCCAACTGTGTTAGAGCTAAACCAGATGCAGCTGTTGACAACAATACAATGCTTCTGCAGATCATATTACGACACCAATACCTAAAATATAAATATATGAACAAAACTGAAATGGAAACACTTACGCCATATTGTTTTTTATCATGCGCTCAAAGAGTGAAGTCTCTAATCCAAACTTTTTAGCAAGTTCATATACTGTTGCACTCGGCTGAAGCTGCTGATGGTCACCTGTAGACAGAGGAAATAGTCTTTAATGCATCAAGTGTTGTTGATCACTCCATTCAATCTATTTCAGTGGGTGAAATTAGGACATTTATGAATAATATAATTATATAAAAGATACAAAGAAAGTAAATACCGGTGGATACGAAACTAATAATAGTTTTAAGGCAGAAAGAAGATTAAAACACCTTAAATTAAAATATCCAACTCATTGCAAGTCCTTCAGTCACATAGAAAACAAACCTCAAGACTAAGAAATAAGTGTCCAGTTTTAACAGAATGAAAGAACGGTTTAGGACTCTGAGCTGAACATATTACCCCAAGGACAAGTGTTGCTAACATTACTCTAGTTTAGTATCATCTTATTGATGTTCAGGGAACAATTCCAATATTTTGTAATGTCTTTTGGAATTGCTGCATTTATTTAAAACCTCCCAGGATAAATTTATTTTCCTTTAGAAACTATTATTTCAAAAGGAACGATATTATGGTTCTGAAGTATTTTAAAATTAAGTTATGACACAAATCACATTTCTCAGCAAAGGTTACCCACATCAAAAGTACATATATATTGAGTTTGTGGAGATTTTATTAGATTGAGGCAAATAATTGAAATAGATACAGTTGATTCACCTGGTAGATGAGTGTGAGTGTTTGCTTCAAATCAAAGGTAATTGTCATAGTCCTCCAATGTTTTCCTCTCCCAGAGGTTTGTTAATGTTATGAACAAGATATATGCAAAGAGGAAAATTAATAGACATGAAAACCAAAAATTATCGCATTCCATTAATTGTCAATTAAATGATAAGAGTCTCACAGATGAACAAACATGTCTAAATGAAATTCATTATCTATTGACAATAACTTTTATTGACGAACACTGGAATGATTGACATCTGTCAATGCTGTTTCTGGCTACAAGACACCAGATGTGTTAAAACACAGAGGTCCTATATCCAGGGAAACAGAAAAAAATTGCATGCAAAATTATGCATGTAAATGCACTTTAGCTTTGCATTTAATCTTTGTTCATAGACGTTCATTATCTCTCATTGTAACTTCCTATAGAAGAGGATCATTTCGACGTATTCCCTAGATGCGGGATCGCAGTCCTCCTCGAAACTCATCTTAACACTATGGCAGCAAGGACAGCAAGTTGGAACCAAGTTAAGAACCCGTGTTCACCATATGCAACGTAAATTAACACTTAAAGATTAAGTAGCTCAAACTCTGACCGGTCCTTAGAGTTGCTGAAAAATACATTTGTTTATATATTTGAACACAACTGCGGCAGCTTCTTCATTCATTCCACGGTGACACATGTACCAACAACAGATAGGACTACTAGGGTGTGGAGGAGGCGTCATGCTCATCATGGATGTGTGTAGACACTATGGTGGTGGGTAGTTACTTTAGAAACACTGTCGTCTTCACTTATAGCTATTTATTGAACTAGCTACAAGAGAAGCTGACACTGTTTATCTTCTTACTCTGGTCCAAATAGCATTTATATGATGCAATAATATTAAATACGAGAACTGGATTTTCTTCCGTATGGACAACTATATGGATCGAGGTTGCTGGTATGTTTGTTGGTTGACTTATCGTCGTGCATGGCTTACGTATGGGGAAATGTAGTCTCTGTATCTTTCTTGGGTGATGGTCAGCTGAAGAATACGAGGATCTGTAATCCTCGGATTCTTTTCTTTTACCTTTTCTGTCTTTTTTTTCGAACAATTAATACTTGGCTGCTCGGACAGGCCTCTTTCATAATGCTGGAAATACTAATGCAATACATTATGGGGAGGCTGTGGGGGTTTTCAAAGGAATCTCATTTAACTCTCTGGCAATATTCTCTGCTCTCCTAAACTTAAGGAAAGAGATTGCTGTTAGGATGGCTGTATGATTACTTCCCCTCGTCAATCAGAGAGATGTGTAATGAATGAAAATCCCCGTCATTTCTAATGTTGGTAATGGGAGCATTAGTTAGATACTGAACAAGACGGGTATAATCTAAAGTGAAAGGAAGCTGGCTATATATCCATTCTCATTATGCGTTAGGGGCATAATGGCAAATGTCGCTCCCAAACTGCCTTGCTATGGCAAATTATGCCATATTAACTTCATGAAGTAACAAGATGAAAGAGCAGAGTCACCGCATCAAGAACAAGACACATATCAGAGTGGTCCAAGCATGACTGCTGTCACGTTTGTTGGGGTCAGTGATGAAGCAGATTGTTAGTTCCAGGGAACAGCCTTGAGCAAATGACATCTGGCCACAGTTGGATACCATGGAAAGGAGTGAGTGTGAATCATACAGGAAAACAGATCTCTTTTCAAATTTATGCCTTGTCATGATCCCATGATGTAGATGATAGAGGATCCCAGACCATCAAACAAAAACTGTACATAATATGACCCAAGAAGATGTAGGCATTTTGGATGGAAGTAGAGCACCTATTGCAGAATGACCTGCTTACAGTGAACAACTGTAACTATTGTCTACAATTCCAGTGAACAACAGTTCTCCTAGTCTCCAATTTAAAACAAAAAAAAAAACAACGGGACCTATCGGGTGTAAACAAAAATAGTGGAAGGAAATAAAGTGGCTGTCATGAAAGGGTATCTAGTGATAGTGGATGGCCAGTAAATAGTTACAAGAAGGAAATATACGTAACTACCATGACGGTGGAATCTGGACAGAGTGGGTGATCCTGGGGAGGTAGCCTGGGTCTACAGCCATCTGGAGCGCCCGTGTGGTAATTTTAGTATAAATGTGATTTTTCTTGCATATCGGATCTGCGTTGGGATTTGGAGCGCATAAGATAATTATTTGTGTACATTTTGGTGAGGCGATTCTATAGAAACCCCATATGTTTATATTCTAATATTCTAACTATTTACCGAAATAGCAGGTAGTTTAATAGCTCAGGGGGGAGATTAACGAAGCAGTTACGCAAGTACTTACGAACGTGTACATAATAACTATCTACGGGCTCACCATAGCCCGTGTTACTTGGAACTTTTTGTTCCAGGTAGCGAATCTTTAACAACAACAACAGAACGTGTACATCTTTCCTCAATCTTTGACGGCTTTGGTTACATTTATTAAACAGTTTACAAGCATGAAAACTTGTTGTTATTGTTATAAACAGCCTCCTGGTGCTTCGGAGATCATTAACTGTTTAATAATTGTAAACAAAGCCGCCAAAGATAGAAAAAAGCTGTACAGGTTCGTAAGTGCTTGCGTAAGTGCTTTGTGAATCTGGCCCCAGGCTACCGGGAGAGTCAAAGGATGGATATGGATTTTTGTAGATATTAACATTTGATGTGTAGATTTATTTGTGACCAATTTTATATATCAGATTAAGAAATCATGAGTGATGCAATGAATGCCTAGGTGTGTGTTTTTAGAAAAAGATTAATTTCCATATTTGATTTATTGATGCAGAGTGTGAATGGCTTGTAGGAGGGAATAGGCTGTAAATTTAAACTGTGGTTGTTACAGCTATGTTTTTCCTTTAAATTATTATTATGATTATGTGTTATTAATGTGCTTATGTATATGTATCTTTCACACACACACACACACACACACACACACACACACACACACACACACACACACACACACACACACACACACACACACACACACACACACACACACACACACACACACATATATATATATATATATATATATATATATATATATATATATATATATATATATATATATATATATATATATATATATATATATATATATATATATATATATATATATGTCGTACCTAGTAGTCAGAACGCACTTCTCAGCCTACTATCCAAGGCCCGATTTGCCTAATAAGCCAAGTTTTCATGAATTAATTGTTTTTCGACAACCTAACCTACCTAACCTAACCTAACCTAACTTTTTCGGCTACCTAACCTAACCTAACCTATAAAGATAGGTTAGGTTAGGTTAGGTTCGGTCATATATCTACGTTAATTTTAACTCCAATAAAAAGAAATTGACCTCATGCATAATGAAATGGGTAACTTTATCATTTCATAAGAAAAAAATTGGAGAAAATATATTAATTCAAGAAAACTTGGCTTATTAGGCAAATCGGGCCATGCATAGTAGGCTGAAAAGTGTGTTCTGGCTACTAGGTACGACATATATATATATATATATATATATATATATATATGTCGTACCTAATAGCCAGAACGCACTTCTCAGCCTACTATGCAAGGCCCGATTTGCCTAATAAGCCAAGTTTTCAAGAATTAATGTTTTTTAGACTACCTAACCTACCTAACCTAACCTAACCTACCTTTTTTGGCAACCTAACCCAACCTAACCTATGAAGATAGGTTAGGTTAGGTTAGGTAGGGTTGGTTAGGTTCGGTCATATATCTACGTTAATTTTAACTACAATAAAAAAAAATTGACCTCATACATAATGAAATGGGTAGCTTTATCATTTCATAAGAAAAAAATTAGAAAAAATATATTAATTCAGGAAAACTTGGCTTATTAGGCAAATCGGGCCTTGAATAGTAGGCCAAAAAGTGAGTTCTGGCTACTAGGTACGACATATATATATATATATATATATATATATATATATATATATATATATATATATATATATATATATATATACATACATACATAAATACATACATACATACATATTGGCCGAGAAGAGGCTTTAAAGTTTTTCTTTGTGTTAAGGACAGTAAGAGAAATTGATTGAACATTCTACAGGCGAGGCTACCAGCATACCATCCGCAGGAGACTATGAAAATAGCTGTAGTAAGGTAGACCTGAAATTGGTTACATGTAAGATAATGTTTATTTTGTAATATAATGGTATTGATGTGTGAGTAGTTCTTTTTTTATAAATGTTATAAAGCTCGAATAAGATATTATTACTCCTTACCTTGACGTCCTTGGGAAGAGGTCGGTTAAACAATAGGGTTTGAAACTCCAACTAGCTCAGGTAAGTTGCCAGTAAGTGTAATTGTGGGAGTGATAGAAGACTGAGAGTGGAGACGCTAATAAACTACAGGGAGTAGAAATGAGCAGCAAAGCAAAGCCACTTGTGACTGAGTGCACACAACAATGTATGTGTAAAGCTAAATATTAATTGTACACAATAACTGTGTACAACAATCACTGAGGGTGCTCCAGAATGCCTGAGTATGAACAATAGGGATTAAATGAGAAACTTCATGAAGAAGTTATGACTAGAAATGTCCCCTGAATATCTACTTACCGATCATAATAAGATGCTGACAGTTGCCGGTCAGGGACGTAATCACGTGAGCCTCTAAAATTTCAGCAGCCTCTTCAATTATCACTGAAAAAAGATCGTTGTTACTATAAGCAGATTTTTTAACTAAATGCTGACAAATGAAAAGCACTTATAATAATTTGCAATATTATTATTATATATTTCAGGCAGTGATTAATGCAAATCTCAGAAGAGAAGCGAGAGATGAGCAGATTGAACAGCGGAACCAGTATTGTTCCTGTTGTTTTCACGTATTTTGAGTCCTCTTCCTACGTAAATTTTGTTTACACTATTAATGGATTTTATAGCGTAGTGGTCAGTGCAGACGAGTCACAACCAAAAGGTCATACATCAGCTCATTACGAAAACTAAAGACTCAGGAGCAGCCATTTTCCAGTTCCAGCACCTCTACGAACAGTCATTGTTATATATATGTGTGTGTTTTCTGTAAACAATGTAATTATATATATATATATATATATATATATATATATATATATATATATATATATATATATATGTCGTACCTAGTAGCCAGAACGCACTTCTCTGCCTACTATGCAAGGCCCGATTTGCCTAATAAGCCAAGTTTTCCTGAATTAATATATTTTCTCTAATTTTTTTCTCTAATTTTTTCTCTAATTTTTCTCTATTTTTTTTCAAAAGAAAAAAATAGAGAAAATATATTAATTCAGGAAAACTTGGCTTATTAGGCAAATCGGGCCTTGCATAGTAGGCTGAGAAGTGCGTTCTGGCTACTAGGTACGACATATGTCTATATATATATATATATATATATATATATATATATATATATATATATATATATATATATATATATATATATATATATATATATATATATATAGACATATGTCGTACCTAGTAGCTATATATATATATATATATATATATATATATATATATATATATATATATATATATATATATATATATATATATATATATGTCGTACCTAATAAGCCAAGTTTTCCTGAATTAATATATTTTCTCTAATTTTTTTCTTATGAAATGATAAAGCTACCCATTTTATTATATATGAGATCATTTATATATATATATATATATATATATATATATATATATATATATATATATATATATATATATATATGTGTCGTACCTAGTAGCCAGAACGCACTTCTCAGCCTACTATGCAAGGCCCGATTTGCCTAATAAGCCAAGTTTTCATGAATTATTATATTTTCTAGAATGTTTTTCTTATGAAATGATAAAGCTACCCATTTCATTATGTATGAGGTCAATTTTTTTTTAATAGAGTTAAAATTAACGTAGATATATGACCGAACCTAACCAACCCTACCTAACCTAACCTAACCTATCTTTATAGGTTAGGTTAGGTTAGATAGCAGAAAAAGTTAGGTTAGGTTACGTTAGGTAGGTTAGGTAGTCGAAAAAACATTAATTCATGAAAACTTGGCTTATTAGGCAAATCGGGCCTTGCATAGAAGGCTAAGAAGTGCGTTCTGGCTACTAGGTACGACATATATATATATATATATATATATATATATATATATATATATATATGTCGTACCTAGTAGCCAGAACGCACTTTTCAGCCTACTATGCAAGGCCCGATTTGCCTAATAAGCCAAGTTTTCATGAATTAATTGTTTTTCGACTACCTAACCTACCTAACCTAACCTAACCTAACTTTTTCGGCTACCTAACCTAACCTAACCTATAAAGATAGGTTAGGTTAGGTTAGGTAGGGTTGGTTAGGTTCGGTCATATATCTACGTTAATTTTAACTCCAATAAAAAAAATTGACCTCATACATAATGAAATGGGTAGCTTTATCATTTCATAAGAAAAAAATTAGAGAAAATATATTAAATCAGGAAAACTTGGCTTATTAGGCAAATCGGGCCTTGCATAGTAGGCTGAGAAGTGCGTTCTGGCTACTAGGTACGACATATATATATATATATATATATATATATATATATATATATATATATATATATATATATATATATATATATATATATATATGTCGTACCTAGTAGCCAGAACTCACTTCTCAGCCTACTATTCAAGGCCCGATTTGCCTAATAAGCCAAGTTTTCCTGAATTAATACATTTACTATAATTTTTTTCTTATGAAATGATAAAGCAACCCTTTTCTCTATGTATGAGGTCAATTTTTTTTATTGGAGTTAAAATTAACGTAGATATATGACCGAACCTAACCAACCCTACCTAACCTAACCTAACCTATATTTATAGGTAAGGTTAGGTTAGGTAGCCAAAAAAAGCTAGGTTAGGTTAGGTTAGGTAGGTTAGGTAGACGAAAAAACATTAATTCATGAAAACTTGGCTTATTAGGCAAATCGGGCCTTGAATAGTAGGCTGAGAAGTGCGTTCTGGCTATTAGGTACGACATATATATATATATATATATTTATATATATATATATATATATATGTCGTACCTAGTAGCCAGAACTCACTTTTCAGCCTACAATGCAAGGCCCGATTTGCCTAATAAGCCAAGTTTTCATGAATTAATATATTATCTCTAATTTTTTTCTTATGAAATGATAAAGCTACCCATTTCATTATGTATGAGGTAAATTGTTTTTTATTGGAGTTAAAATTTACGTAGATATATGACCAAACCTAACCAACCCTACCTAACCTAACCTAACCTATCTTTATAGGTTAAGTTAGGTTAGGTAGCCGAAAAAGTTAGGTTAGGTTAGGTTACGTAGGTTAGGTAGTCGAAAAGCAATTAATTCATGAAAACTTGGCTTATTAGGCAAATCGGGCCTTGCATAGTAGGCTCAGAAGTGAGTTCTGGCTACTAGGTACGACATATATATATATATATATATATATATATATATATATATATATATATATATATATATCGTACCTAGCAGCCACAACGCACTTCTCGGCCTACTGTGCAGGGCCCGATTTGCCTAATAGGCCGAGTGATTTTCTTTATTTTCAATTATTTTTTTCCAATTAGTTTATTTGAAATATTATTATTATATTATGTTAAGAACGCGAATTACTGACTTAGTTATATTAGTTTAGGTTAGGTAGGGATGGTTAGGTTCGGTGATATATCTACGTTAATTTTAACTGAAATGAAAAGAACTTAACTCATTATTAATGAAATGGATAAATACATAAATATTGTTACGATAATTTCCTTCAAGACAGATTTGGCCTTCTTTTTCCTATCATCATGTTACTTCAGTACATCTACAACAACTAGATACTACAAGTAGGTGTAGTGCACATTTAGTCAAATACGTTTTGCCAGGCCCAAACGTATCAGACACTCGCGCTCCACCTCCCCCCCTCCATCGTCGCCGATCACCAAACTACCATTTCCTGCCAGCCCGCTTCTGATTGGTGAATCGACGTCTGCACCACTGCACCTCTGCACCTCAGCGCCATCTACCTAGCCGATGTCTGGGCCTGCACCAGCCATTGGAGTTAGAATATCCTGTGCTCTCAAAGCTGACACAACCATCTGATATACGCTCTGTCTATTAGTGGATGTTCACAACCAGCGCTTTATTCTCAGCACCTGTTAATTTCATTTTTGTCTTTATCCATTTTAGAGTAATGTCACCACTATTTTATTTTATGTTATTTTTTGACTTTATAATCTTGTCTTACTTTGCCACAGGACACAACAGCTACGCAGTCATCTTTTTAGTTTTAAATGTGATAGGCGTTGACATCAGCCATTGGGAGGACTGCCGAAGACCTACACTTCTTTTTTCCATCACAATATATATATATTGTTACGGTGCCCTCTCCTATCTCTTTCGTTTGCCGGCTTAAAGAGTCATATCAGCTCTCCCTACTGATTCTCTGAGGTTCAGGGAGTCTAATGATATATGTGGCGACCAGACCGACTGCCAGTAAAGGGAAGGAAGTTACATTATAAGTTGTAAATAAAGGGAAATTGGCGCCCTGTTATGAAATGAAAGAGTATCCCCTAATGCAGATATGACCTTTTGGAAGGGACACTAGCCGATTGCGGATTGGCCGACCTAGGTCGCGGGCGACAAATCAGGGCCCGCCATGACGTCACCGAGTGCCCTGGGCGGCGCCAACGTCAGAGTTGATCCGACCTTGGAAGCGACAGGACGCGCCTCGGTCTGCTCTCAAGGATTTGAGGCTCTACAAGCCTTATTCAGTGGATTAAACTAGCCATCGCAGCCCACCATAAGTTATTGGAGACCCTGCGCTTCTGGGAAGCAAAAGGGAACCAGGTTCATTGAGCAGAGAAGTGCCAAACTTGGAAAATAGTCGGCGACGACGCTGGGGCGGCGCCGCTGGACGTTGAGGTCTGGAAGGTGCAGCGGGCAGGCCTAGCTGTGACCGGGTCACATCCACTGAGGGTCTTGGAAGGACGACACCGTGCCTAGGACAAGGAGCAACGCCTTGTGGAAGGGGCGAGTGTGGGAAAATAGTGATTAGCTCAGCGCCCATCGATGAACCAGGATTGGGGCAGCTGAATCTCAGGGATTGGAACGGCGACGACGCGAAGGCTCCACGACACCTGAGGACCTGTGGAACGTCCTGGATCGTCAAGGATCGACCCAAGGAAGCGTGGGAACCTCACACCATCGAGGGACAGGCGTCGTGAGCCAGGAATGTAAGGTAGATCATTTTCCCTCCCATTACCCCTTGTGTGAGTAGGCTAGTTAGGCCACAATAGTTACTTATGTATGTGGCAACAGGACATTAATGCTTTAATAGTAGAATAGGCTGCAAGGCAGCTTGTGTCCAGGACTGTCAGAGGGGACAGTGTGTATGGATGGCAGGACAGTGAAGGAGAGGCGCCGACGTGGTGAAGAGGCCCTCCTGTGAGAGAGTGTGGGACTCCTGTCTTTCTGTCCAGTTGAAGGAGTGTTGGAGGTCGTGGAAGAAGAGGCTGACGATCTCCAGACTTATTTATCCATATTTCCATATTCATGTATTACTTGTGATTGTGTGTGTTCATGTAATTTGCATCAGTAAATTCGCACATTTTATCACTGTGTTTAAGT